TGGCTCAGCCTCTGGCTCAGCCCCGCCGCTCCCCCAGGCCCTGTTCGTAAAAACTTGTCTTTCTCCCCAGGCTGTCTCCGGGCGGCTCAGTGCCGTGGGTCCCGCGGGCGTTCTGATTCCTGTCGCCTGCCTCGGCGTGCAGAGAGGCTGCGCGGTTTCCAGCTAGGCCCAGGGTGTAAGGTAAGAGAGGACGGAGCCTGGTAACGTGTTCCAGAGGGCGGAAAGGGTGTAATGTCCAGGCAGAGGGGTGTTTTAATCCAAATTGTTACCCTGATGTCAGTTGAGAGAGTGAGCTGTTTATAGACTTCCAAGGCCTTTCCTGTGACTGCCCGCTATAGATGACAAAGTTTCCTATAGACACTGCCTGCTAAAGGCGGCTCCTTTCCACTTTCTGTTAATCCAGTTTTGTGCAGCCTGTAAGCATAAGCAACAAGCTGTTAGTTTGCCACAAAATTAACGTAGATTTAGTCTCGCTGGCCAACGTATTTTGGCAGAGGGATGAATTCTGCTTATGATACAGTCCATAACAAAAAACACAGCATTGTATATTATGCTGTATATTACTGTATAGTTCTTGTATCATCTTTCACCCATGAGTGGGAGGGAGGTGTTCATCAAGGTCAAAGATGACGTGTGGCCAGTTTGTAGTAAAATCCAATTCCAAAATATTTAGCCATCTGTTTGATTTTACTGGAAGTTAGTGAATTCTTGTCTAAGTCTTTTGGAGCCATTTTTAATAGGCAGTTCAGCAACAAGTTGTTCATAAAATGTTCACTTTAAGACTACTACTGGTTTTATTCTTACCTATTTTATCAGTGCTTTCTTCTACAAACTTTTTTTTCCTCTTTAATGCTTCTGTTTTTACTCATTAACAGTTTGGTTTTTCACTTCTTGGTTGTCCATCACCACTAGATTATCTGATGAAGTAATTAGTAGGAAAACATATAAAAGTGTAATTGCTGGGTCATGAATTGGAGTAGCAAATAAACTATTAAGGGAACTAACAATTCACACCTCTGAATTCTTTGTTTAAGTTTGTTCATACTGCCTGAAGTCATCCATTTCTGTTACCTGATCTGGAGTTAGAGGGATAACTTCACACCTTTAAGATTTAAAGTGAACTGTTTAAAAAGGCTTTTGCCTTTTTTTTTTTTTTTTTTTGGCGTAGAGATGGAACAGACCAGTAGGTCATGAAATGACAAGAGTATAGGAGGGACACTTATATTTTAATTCTTCTGGAATTTGCTATGGAAATAGGTTGTATTGTGGGAGGGTGAAAGAGGTGGAGTGTTTGGGTATTTTTATAAGTAATATTTTTATTTTTTTAAGAAAGCAATGTTATTATATATATTTGCGTTTTTTTAAAGTAAGAATTGATTACATATATTGAGTACAGAGCATAGTGAAAGTGCATTAATCTGGGGACAAGGCAGCTGGAATCACTCGTTGCTTAGAGTTTTGCCTCAATTTGTAAGTCCTTTTAACTTCTAGGCCTGCCTTGGTTCAAATTTGTGGTTTTTATTTGTCGAGATTATCCTTTTTACCAAATGAAGAAAATCACTTCCCATTAAAGCTTTAGTGAAACTTTAAAGTTGATATAATTGGGTAAATAATTAAAATTAGACATATCTCTGAATAAGCAGCAAAGTGTATTTTATTCATGTTAGAAATCTTGAAAACTATGAAGTAATAATGATGAACTTACATGCATCTGAATCAGCTCATGGTTAAGTCTCTCACAGCTATGCTTAGAACTCTTAGTACTGCAGTACAAGCATGTAAAATTTCATCTTCTGAATTTATTTTTAAAAAAGTTTTAACTTCTTGGGTAATGGGCCTTCAGATGCATTATAAATCCATCTACTGATTAAAAGGCTGTCAGGTAGCTGGAGTGGTATCCCCCAGTTCATGTTGGTGGATTTTTAAGGATTAAGCCAGATATATGGAATGTCTGTTTTGTGCAGCGAGGGTGTTTGGGAGGGAATTTTGTTTGTTTGTTTGAGAGCTCTCTGTGTTTGTGTTCTATTAGATTATTTTATTACTCCTCCACTGTGAGACAGTAGGTACCATTTCTTCTATTAGAGAACATAGTGACTCACAAAAAGGTTTTGATACTTACTGTGATTCAGGACATGTAGGAAGCAAATGTTCTGGTGACAGACTAAATAAAACTCAATTAAAACTTGCAAACAGGTATTGATAGTATATAAGGACTTCATTAGGCACTTCATAGAATACAATGGGAAAGGTAACTTCTATACTCCGATAGTTTTTGACACTGTTACTAATCTGAGGACCTCCATTTGTGCTTTGACATCAAATGCTGTGGTGCAAGTCAAGAAAGACATTTGATCTTCTCTTGTGTTTAATCCTTTGTAGTCTTATAAAGTGACGGTTCTGAAAATTACTAAAGACTGCTACCCAGAGAATATTTGGGAAGGAATGAAGGAAACGAGTTTACAGCTATCAATACAAAAAAATACATTGTAAAATGAATGGCTCTTCTAGATGTAAATAATCAAGGGGTATTAACCTATATCTGGATATAGTATTGAAGTACATGGTCTTTCAGGAAAAAAAAAATTAATTACGTATTCAAAATGGGAGAGAGTGGGAATGTCTTTCCTATTTTTTGAAACATATGAAAGTCATTTCAAAGCTATGAGGTTCAGAGAGAGTAGGGGGAGAGAAAGGATGGAGGAGATGAACAGATGTCTGAAGGAAAACTAGTAGTGAATTAAACAGTGGACAAATCAGGCAACAATTTGAGGTTATAATGCAAGTGCTTTATTACTGATATGCTTTATTTCTATATTGGCTATAATGGCCTACTCATTAAAAAAATCCCACAGGACTGTTGTACTTGCAATTTCTATGTTTATGCAGTGGGAACAGCAATCAAGATCTAAAAAAAATTGTTTCTAGCTAATATTAACTGATAAGTTTTAGGCATAAATACAATTTCATTAAATTAGCTTGTAAACATGATGTGCTCTAATAATAAGAAGAAAAATAAGGTAGTAATAATAAGAAACAAACATGAGTAAGATTTTTAATTGAAAGATAGTGCTGTATTTAATAAGAAATGTTCTTAATCTATTACGAATAAGTTTGTTCTGGATTAATGTCAGTCTAACTGAAGAATAAGATGTATTACATTACATTATTTTTAATATCTGACTCTTAAAAATTTTTAGATATTTAATGATTTTTGAGCAGAGAGGTTTTTTGAAGACTCTCTAGATAATACTTTATTAAAAAAGTTCAGCATGTTTGTTCCAGTTTAGCTCATGTCTCCTTGAAGCTGTATGGTCCTTGGCAGAAACTAACGTAGTCTATTTCTTATTCAGTTGGTTACTGATATTAGTGCCTTCTTTCTTGAGAACCTGGTTTAAGTATTAGAAAGCAAGATCACAGCCCTGGACTTCAGAACAGACTGGCCTCTCCAGGGATCTGCTTGGAAGAGTCCCATGGGGTAAGGCCCCGGAGGGGTGCAGGAAAGCTGATTGATATACAAGGATCACCTCCTCAGAGCTCAAGAGCAGTCCATCCCAATGAGTAGGAAGTCAGGAAAAAATGCCAGCAACCCTGCATGGTTGAACAAGGAGCTCGTCACAGAGCTCAGACATAAAAAGGAAGTATGCAGAAGCAGGGACAGGTAACCTTAGAGGAACATAGAGGGCAGTGTCTGAGCATGCAGAGGTGTGATTGGAAAGTCAAAGCCTGCCTGGAGTTGAATCTGGTAAGGGTTGTCAAAGGCAACAAGAAGTGCTTCTGTAAATAGTCAGTGGCAGAAGGATGACTACGGAAAATGTGGGCTCACTGCTGAATGGGACAAGGGCTCTAGTGACACAGGATGTGGAAAAGGCTGAGGTACTGCAGGCCTTATTTGCCTCCATCTCTACTAGCAAAGATTTTCTGGAATTGTAAAACTCAGGGGAAAGTCTGGAGCAGGGAAGATGTACGCTTGGTGGAAGAGGTTTAGGTCAGAGAATACTTAAGTAAACTGGACATACATAGGGTTGTGGGCACTGATGGGATGCGGCCATGAGTGCTGAGGGAGCTGACTGGTATCACTGTGAGGAAGATCTTGATAATACTTGATTGATCATGGAGACTGGGAGAAGCGCTTAAAGACTGGAGGAAAGTCGATGTCACTCCTATCTTCAAAAGGCCAAGAAGGGGCACCCAAGGAACTACAGGCTGATCAACCTCACCTTGAAAAGGTTATAAGAAGCCAGTTTGACTCAGGAACAAGTGGCCAAATGCACATTAAGCCATCTATTAATCATTACCAGAACAAATTGAAAAGGATGGAAGGTGATGGAGCAGCTAATCCTGGAAACCATTTCCAGGCATGTTAAAGACAAGAAAGTGATCAGGAGTAGTCAGCATGGAATCACCAAGGGGAAGTCATGCTTGACCAACCTGATAACTTTCTGCAGTGAAATGACTGGCTTGGTAGACAAGAGGAGGGCAGTAGATACTGTTTCAGTAAGGTTTTCAACACTGTGACATCCTCATAGAGAAGTGAAGTATGGGCTGGGTGAGCAGAGAGTGAGGTCAATATAAAGCTTGCTGAACAGATGGGCCCAGGGGCTGGTGATCAATGGTGCAAAGTCTAGTTGGAGGCCAGTAACAGCAGTGTACCCCAGGGGTCAGTACTGAGTCTGATCCCATTTATCATCTTCGTTAATGATCTGGATGATGGGGCAGAGTGTACCCTCAGCAAGTTTGCTGATGACACAAAACTGGGAGGAGTGGCTGATACACGGGAGGGTCATGCTGCCATCCAGAGGGACCTCAACAGGCTGGAGAAATGGGCTGACATGAAGTTCAAGAAGGGAATGTGCAAAGTCCTGCACCTGGGGAGAGGATCAGCCCCACACCCTGGTATCTGCTGGATGGCAACCGTGTGGAAAGCAACTTTGCAGAAAAGGCCCTGGGGATCCTGGTGGGCACCAAGTTCAAAATGAGCCAGCAATGTGCCCTTGTGGCAAAGAATGCTAATGGTATCCTGGGCTGTTTTAAGGAGGAGTGTTGCCAGCAGGTCAAGGATCCTCTCGCTCTCCTCAGCAGTGGTGACGCTGCTTCTGGAGTGCTGTGTCCACTTCTGGGCACCCCAGTGTAGTGGAGGCCTGCACATACTGGGAAGCAAAGATGATTAAGGCACTGGATCA